GGAAGCCAGAATGCTTCAAGTTAAACTGGTGCAATTGGAAGTGACAGCCTTGGGTCCCTTCCAACACTGGTAGTTCATGATTATATGAATAGTGAAAAATTATACTAACTGATTACATTTTCTCCATGATCTTTTGTGAAGGGTCTTACTGCGATTTTCCTAAACCCTGGAGAAGTTATAATTGTTGAACCTTCTATGCTAAATTACCATTCAGTCTCTTCAGTGAAGCGTTACTTATTCTTCACTGAAGAGACTAAAATAATTCTTTAACTCAGTATCTTGAAAAATCAAATTACTTATCTGTGCAGTTTTGAAAAGTGTTTGAGGCTAGAGCCTAATTAAGAAACAACCCACTTTTAAAGCTACACCCCATAAAGCCCATCAAAATAATACCATGGAAAAACTTGCAATACGAGGCCAGTAAAGTGCTATCTGAAGGAAAGACAGCAATATTATCAATATTACAACTATTGCTATATTCTCTGAAAGGGTGTTTCCATTGATGTGAAATATTCTCGTTACAGAGCTTTAGGATAAAACCCTCCTCCACTAATCACTTTCTGAATGGCCATCTGGACATCCTTGTTCCTGAGGCTATACACCATGGGGCTTAATAATGGAGTAATAACTGTATAGGTAACTGTTACCAGCCTATCTTTGCTGGATGAGAACTTGGATGATGGTCTCAGGTAGACAAAGGAAGCACAGCCATAATGGACAATAACCACAGTGAGATGGGAGGCACAAGTAGAGAAAGCTTTTTGCTTGCCTTCAGCTGATGGAATTTTCAGGATGGTGCGGACAATGAAGCCATAAGAGATGCAAATGAAAGTCATGGGAACCATGAGGGCTAGAACTCCACCAATGAAGATGACCAGTTCATTGATGTTGCTATCAACACAGGCAAGCTGGATGACTGGTGAGATGTCACAGAAGTAGTGGTTGACCTTGTTGGGGCCACAGAAAGGGAGCCTAAAGACTAAGAGGGTTCCTATAAGTGAGAAGAGAAAGCCAATCCCAGCACAAGTGGCTGCCAGTTGTCCACA